ATCCGAGGAGGAAGACGAACAGCTGACAGGGAGTGGGAGTGTGGCTCTGTTGGCTGTGGAGGAAACTGGGGAAGGCCAAAGTCCGGCTGGGCAGAGCAGGGGAGAGGTAGAACAAGGGAAAGGGAGTTCAGAGGAAGACCCAGGCCCACCCGCTCTTCATCCTCGGGCACACAGGAAGGAATGGAGAAGGGAGTAATGTGGGTTGCGCGGCTTATGGGGGAGGAAAGGGCCCTGATTCCCTTCATTAGCCACAGCTGGGAATGAAAGTTTAAAAGAACTAAATGCTAACTGCGGCAGGTGCTGGGAGCAAACATGAGTTTATCTTGTGTTGACTTTGCTTATCTGTGTTCCTGGCATCTTCCCAACCATGTTGAGTTATAGCTGTGCCTTCACGTCTAGAATTCTTGCTTCTGCACTGCCGGACTAATTACCTCATCTTGCCTTGATTGGACTTTTAGTTACAGTTTTTGTTGATCATGTTTTGGACTTGATTCTCTGCAGCCACAGGCTGTTCCTGGGGAAGTTTTTCTCCAGCCCTGAAGGTAACCAGGATATTGGGGACACAAAGTTGGAGCTAATAAAGGGACACCTAATGATTATCTGACCGTGTTGCCTTTGTGCCACGCCCTGGGTCATCACACCTCCTGGTCAACGTAAAAAGCCTCTTGATCTCTTTCTTTCTTTGGAGGGAAAAGAGAGGCTCTCAAAAATGGACTTGGAAAAGAAAAAGTAGCATTTGTTAATACGACACATAAGTCCTCGACTTACCACCCCAATTGAGCCTGAATTTTTTTTGTGGCTAAGGAAGGCAGATGTTGGCTAAGTGAATTTTGCTCCGTTTTACAAACTTTCTGGCCACTGCAGTGGTTCAGTTTAGTCACATGGTTGTTAAATGAATCTGGCTTTCCCTCCTTGACTTTTCTCATCCGAAGGTCACAAAAAGGGAGATCTTGTGATTCTGGGACACTACAGCGGTCATAAATATGGATCGGTTCCCAAGGGTCTGAATTTTGATCACTGACCATGGGATTGCTGCAACGGTCGTAAGTGTGAAAAAATGGTCATGTCACTTCTTTCAGTGCCACTGTAAGTTCGACCGGTCACCAAAGTTGAAGGGAAGGAAGGTAGAAAGGAAGGAAGGAAGGAAGGAAGGAAGGAAGGAAGGAAGGAAGGAAGGAAGGAAGGA